CATTCTGCAGGTATGAGTAGGAACTGTGATTGAAAGAATCTATTTCAGTTTATTGTTGTGATTCAAATTTAGCCGATTAGGATCATTAGAGTAAACATTCAGATTGTACATCAGATATACCTTCACTGAAGACACCATCCCATTAGCTCTTCATCAACCTGTCGTCGTGTCCCGTTCGCTCTGATAAAACTCCCTGTTTTCACTTCATCAATCATGTTTCTCTTAGTGTCGCCATTGTGTTCCTGGTGGGGGAACTGGAACGTCCACCTTCTTCTTTTGATATGATTTACAATCCAATTAGTGCACACAACTGGAATGATGGATTAAACCGCAACTTTCAAGGCACCACAGGACCTATACCTGCAGGACTTCTCCCTCAGATGTGATAATCAATAGATGCTGTCGGATGGGAAAAGTTTTTATAGACTCAAAAGATTCCACCAGAAGCCAGAATCCCCATTTCACTGAGCCGTCTGACAACTCAGAGACAGAGAGAGAGTAACGAGCAGCTGGGGTTGATCTGAGATGGTCCAAAATTTAGTGTTGAAGTGAATTGTGACTGTTTGTTTCGCTGCACATGTTGACGATACTCGAGAGACTAATTGGAAGCACGGACAGAAATCAGAGGGAGTGAAATCTTTCTGAACTGATTGAGCCTGACGGAGGTTAGTCCTCGTATGTCCTCGTATGTTAGATACGGCCACCAGGGGGCTCTCAATCAATACTACAATAACAAAAGCTGATGGGGAATCATGTGAGTACGCCCTGCTACTCCCCCACACCCGATAAAAACGAAGTCTGACACCGTAGTCATGACGACCGGGCGAAATCGACCTGAGGAAGAGAATGTATTTACAGACGAGCTAATGTAGCCGAGTATAATTTGCGTAACGTTTTTTATCACAGCAGCACATACAGCAACAGTACGGCAGCTTTCAGTAGCAATTCCTGCTTCATTGTGTAACATCTGGTGTTTCCACGGCAACCATAAACAATCTGTCCGTCATGGCGGTTCTGTAATGGCGGCCTCCTTTACAAGACTCGTCCCATTACTGCTATAAAATTAAAGATTTCTCTGGCTTTGATAACTGTTGTAAATATTAGAGGTAATGTAAGTACTTAATTTCAGTGTAAACATTTTCATAAAATTCTGCAGATTGTACGTTTAAGCAGCAACAACACCTGCTTCCTTTTTGGTATTTACATGAGTCTTCCTGTGCTTAATGATGGCAGCTAAAGAGCATTTACACAACGACCCGACTACTGAGTGATGGAGTGCAGAGGGGGGAAGATGTGGACAGAAACAGCACAGCACAGTTCCTGCCATCAACCTTCAGAGTGTTCGTTTTTAACAAGGGGGAAGTCAAACAGGCAGAAATCTAAATCTGCAGCGCAGCTGAACACATCTGGCTACAAGACGCACGCTAATCCCAAATTACAAGGGGAGCAGAGATATTAAGTAAACCTTCTGTTACAACAGATGTGCGGCGTGCAAAGTCTCAACAGCAGCTCAGGTGTATTTAATGGAGCTTGAGGTGACGAACAGTTTTAATGACGGTAATATAACAGATAACCCAAACCCTACTGCTCTGCCGACAGTCTGCTGAATATATACTGTAAATCAGATAAATAGACCAAGTATTGGTAAATGGTTGAAAAGATCACCTATTCCATCAAGGGGAAGCCAGAAATATTTGGAAAAATATGGGGTTCTTTTCTTAACTATTTAGAAGATACAGATCTGAAAAACACACTGGATCACCGAAATGATTCTGGAAACGACTGATTAAATGTTGCTCTGCTAGGGAAAGAATGGAAGCCTTGTTATTCACAGATTGCATGATCAGATGGAAAAGACACTGACACAATTAAATTTTTATTATCTATTTATATAATTTTTTTCCTATGATTTTATTTGTAATTATTAATTATCTGATTAATTATTATCATCATTTTCTTTATTAATATTTATTTTTATATATATTTTCCTCTCTTTTTAAGATAATGTACTTTTATGCTATTTTGTTTATTTCTATCTATTATGACTGCGTTATCCATATCTTGAAAATGAATAAAGAAATTGTTTTTGAAAAAATCTGATATGTATCGACTTCGACACACGACCTGCACCCAGTCGTCTATTTCATACAAACTTTCAGTGAGTACATAACACGACTTCTTCTGTTTATTCTTTGTTTTACTCAAAAAATCAAACAAAGGGACACCAGCAGAAAAGAAGTAAGCAGGCAAGGCATCGCTAAATGAACTCTTGCTTGATTCATTTCCCTTTGTTCCCATAATCTGTTTACTAGCAGCACTAATTGCCACCTTTCATGAGGCAGCGAGAGGAGCTCCGATTATAAGAGTAATAGACACTTAAGTGTTCTGGGATTGGTTTACTTTCTTAACAATCAGCGAGTCAATGCAAACAGAGAGAAGGTGTTGATGAGACTTGATTGTGTGGACCTGCCTGTCTGCGGACGATATTTACCTTTATAAAGTGAAGTCTGTCATGAAGTTTTTTTACATTTTTAAAGTGACAGTTTCAGTGTTGAAACAAATGTGGAGTCGATAGAAATGTTTGCTGCAACTTGTAAACAAAACATTCAAATCAAGCCCCTCCTCCTGGGCTCATCGCCACCAGAACAGGTTTAGCATGTTTGTTTTTCTGCATGTACCTACACGGCCAGCTACCTGAGAACATTACATTTGTTCTAATGGAAAAGCCGATAGTTTAGGAAGCTAGCGCTCGCAAACCGGCGGTGTTTGCCGCCTGCTGTCCAACAAAAGGTTGACCAACTCAGCGTTGTGAAAGCCAACCCAAGGAGCACCCCTCGTTTTTGAAGCTTTATGTCCGTTGCTAGGCCTACATCCACAATATTTGCTGGCTTAAATTGGTGTCCAATCACTGAATTGTATCTACTATTGTATCTATTGTATCTACCCATTCACTCCCCACCCAGAAAGCCCCAAGTCATCAAAAACATAAAATTGATCGAAATCCAGTCAGAGGACAGGGTCTCTGCAGACACAGTCATTGTATGACATGTATGGAGGCCCAGAAGTGATGATAGAACAGCTTTACTTCAGTATAAGTCTATATTTTACATTATAGAAAAAAGAACTGACTCCATCTTCAACACATGTTTATGTCATTCCCGGGATTGAATAGCCTGGAAAGCTCTTTCCCCAACAATCTGCACAAACCCAAACAGGTTCTTGAGCTCTGTAGAAGTCCTGAGCTGATCCATGCATTTTTTGAAGGACCATTAACTCATGTTTATTGTTTGCTCTAGGTATGCCAGCTGTCTAACACACCCCAACCTTTATATCATTTTGCTTTATGCCTACCAGCGTAGGAGAAGTGTGCTCTGTGCAGATGTGTAGAGAAGTGAAAACCCTGCACATTTGTGCACACACTTATCTATATCAGTCTTGGCCAATATTGTATTTGAGCACAACTGAGTCATTGTCATTTTCATGACGACATTTCAAATTATGACCAGATAACAATGGCACAATGTGGCCACACATACAGAAGGTAGTTAGGAGTTTTAAGTACAAGGCCTCCAGAGCAAAATGTGTCATTCCACTTTCTGACAACTTACTCATTGTCTTTCTTACATTTAAAATGTAACAAGTAAAGAAAGTTAAAATAAACATCCCAACATAAGAAGCCATTACACTTCTGGGATCAAATGTATTCAACCAAGACTAACATGATTAAGAGCCGGTGTTGAGTGTCAGAAATTGGGGGAAATGTCAATGAAAGCCCAGGATACAAGGTTCCTAAAGGGACATGGACTGAAAAAAGGTGGCCACCAGAAAGGCCCTGTTTCCACTAAGCAGTCCAGTTTGGTTCAGTACAGTTTGGTACAGTTGTGCACGGTAAACCCTGAACTTGTTAACATTTTCCACAGCCAACCGTGCCCTTATTTGGTAAGCGGTGTGTAAGCCAGATGGAGATCGACGCGTCAGCTATGTAATAGTGTGACATCATAGCAGCCCAACACTGTGTAGCCCGCTATTCATTAAGTTAAACGTTTAAGAAGAAGAACAGGGACACAGTAAACAAAGGGACCCTTTAGGGTTGGATCGGTACCCTTGGCACCCCAACAGAAGGGTACCAAAACAGCAGGACGGTACAGATCCCATATTTTGGTACCATTCCCAACTTTTGACGGTGGAAACGCCAATAACTGGGTACCATACCAAACCAAACCGAACCGGACCGCTTGGTGGAAACAAGGCTAAAATCACTTGTGCACACGAGAAAGTTTTGGTACATAAAAGAAACAATTGCCTACATTCATGAAACTCTTTGAGAAATCCCGGCTCCCATAGACAACAAAACACCATCAAGCTCATCTTTGAGACAGAATGGAAGACACTCTCTGGTTCACATTCAATACTTTCCATGAGCACTGGAATCTTTCTCGTGCTCATCACGGGATAGTTTATAGTGTGTACGAGTTCGATTTTCCATGTGTACCCTGAAACTTCTGTTTTTTTTCTAAATGTTCCTGCCCATGTCCCCTTAGGGGCTCCGTATGAGGATATTACCCTCAGTTGTCTTGTTTTGTCCATAACACAGAATTATTCAGATAACTGCCATAGAGGAGAAAAGAAAGCCGAACATCATTCTCTCAGAAGCTGGAAGATGAGACTCGAGCTCAAAGGGTCAAATGAAACATTTAAATAGTTCTCAGTTTATCTGGAAGTTGACAGAGATATGAAGTTACAGAAACAGCACAGTAGCAGGTCCTGTTTAACATTTGATTATAAAAAACAGAAAGGTCCGCACATTGTTCAGCTTCCATTGGTTATTTTTATTCAAACAGGCCTGAGGAAGATATCGTAGATTGAAACGTCGCCCTGTTGAAATAAAATGTCCAGTGGGATCTGAACAGTGTGCAGACCTTTCTCTTTATTCTGTAGTTTATCCTGCACTGGATGTCCTCACACTTGTTTTTCCCTTTCTGATTTATTCTTCTACTCACCATAGCCAGAGGGATGATGGCCTGAATGTCTCGCTGCACAACCGTCAGCTCCGTCACAACCTTTTCTGAGTCTGGAGGCGGGTTCTGCCCCTTGTAGTCGATGTTCCAGTTGATCCGTCTGGTCACCGAGAGGCTGGTGAAGTTCTCCATCTCGAAGTCCAACTGCATCACCTCCACATTCCCCAACACCTCCCTGCAGGACCACAAAAAACAGAGCCAACATTAAACATACAGCAACGTATTCACAGAACTGTGAAATGTGGCAATGCATTTGTTTCTGTTCATGAAGTCGTTGACAGGAGAGTTTGTAGGGATTAAGGATGTCATCTTTTCTGCAGTTGTTTAAAAAGTTTCCCTGAAGTTACACTTGAGTAAAAGAAAAAAGTGATGTGGACAATCGTCATCAACTGAGTGAAATGATAAAGGTATCTTACTATCTGATCAGACATTAAGGAAACATGCTATGTTGAAGTGCTGGCTTCTCTGACAACAATGCAGCAGCCAGTATGTCCTCCTTCTAACTTTAGATTCTGCTCCTGAATGCTCTGCATTTGATTGGACCAGAGAAGTAAGGAACTCACAGGCGGCCATTTTGAATACTTCGATGACACAGAAACGTGGTAAAACCAGGATACAGATGTGATCACTATCAGGTCAAAGCGCAGAAAAAAGTGACAGCGTCCTTATTAAACAGTTCGATAGCACCTTATTTTAAAATGTTGGCTAAACAGTTGAAGTTTTTCGGTGCCATCAAAGCTAGGTACATCCTTCATGACGAAGACACAAGGAAACAAAGCGCTAATGGAAACTGGTTTACACTTTGATAACACAACGTCATTCCCATTGACGTTAGCTGGCGGCTAACGACGTATCGCACTTTGAAGTATGTACACAGCCAGCAAAAGAAAACACAAACAGCCAAGATGGCTCACTACTGTCAATTTTAAAACGGGTTTAGTTCAATTATGGACGTCCTGAAATGTTCTATAACCCCTTCTCTGAAAATGTGTTTTCACATAAATCTCTCACTTGGGTTAACGCTTCACATCAGAGACGCTGCTTGTCAACAGGCAAGGCAGGCAACTGCTTGGGGCCCCAGGCGAGTAGGGGGCCCCCTGAGGTCTGACAAACTTTAAACCAAAGCAGTGGCTCAAAATGGGCACATTTTTCAATGACAGTAGGACACCTCCATAAAGGGGGCCCCATCCGACAGCACTCACTCTGGTTGTGCTGCTAAGTGTTGCATGCATTATTTCTGTGGAAACTAAAGTTTGTCAATGAAAGTCACCGAATGGAAAATGAAGAGGAAGTATCTATCGGGGAGTGAAAACAAAAAGAGGAAGAAAGAGGAAGAGGAGGAAGCATCGGGACACGTTGGTTGGAGGGGCCCCCAATTATTATTTTGCCTGGGGTCCTTATGGAGTCTAGAATTGCTACTAGTCAGGAAATTCTGACTTGCAGATTCATCTGGAAGAATTAATTAAGTTTTCTAATCACTTGACAGCTCTACTTACGCTACAAAAACATCACCTACAGTAAGTGTACATACAGTATGCAGTTTGTGACCTTCAGGTAATATAGCCCCATGCAGCTCTTTTGCCTTGCACTGAAATAACAGGTAGAGCCTAATGGATGGTGACAAAGTCTAATGATAAAGATCGATCCTGGTATTCTTGAATTTATTTAAGATGAAGGGCCCAGAGAGGATGTTAGAATAAAAGCCAATGTCCTTCTCTTGGCTTCCTGTCGAGGAAAATCAATGCTGTGCATTCAGCAAGGCTCACACAAGTTGTCAGCCATGTTCATTGAAATCAGCCCAATCATCATGCTTCGTTCAGACATGCATTCAGTCTGAATAGTACAGTTCTTCAATTTCCGGAATGACAAAAGCCAATGTCTTTGTGCTCTTAAAGGTCACAAGGTTCTGTTTACAAAGTAAAGCTGGATGACTGGCTTCTTTTTTAAATGATACCGTGTTTCAGTCACATAAATGTCCGTATTGGTATTCAGGTGTTATTGTCAACACCGACCCTTTAAACGGCCAGTCTGCCGGTGCTATTAGTGCTTTGGGTCAATATGATTTTGTCGCCCCTGCTATTTTTATAAGCACTTTCAGTTCACACTGCTCTTGATGAAATTAAGTCAAGGTGAGGCAGCTGAAACTCCGCTAAAGTTTATAACAACATGAGTCATGCCCCTCAGGTTTTATTTTAATCCTCTAGTGCCATAATCTTTTTATAAGATGTTTTTTTTTTGTTGTTCTGGTTAAGAAGCGCTGAAGAGAAATGTTTCTTCCCTAAACTGAAAGGATTTTTTTAGGTTTCTTGAATTAGTTCTTCAATCTAACAAACTACTCCATCAAAGCACCAAACTAATACATGTCTGCATATGATTTTTCATGTCTGAGATCAGTCTTAGACATCTTCTGGAAAGGACTCTCAGGACTCTTTGTATTTCATGTTTTTTTTTCAATTTAGTTTTATATACTTTATTAATCCCTGAGGGGAAATTCTGGTTTATACTCTGTTATTAAAATACATGCTTCATGTGCTGCACTGTGTTCCCAACCCAGGTCCCCAAAGACTGAGCTACTGCCGCCCCCACAGGTTGTCGAATTAACTTTATTCTGTTAAATCAATTTTAAAAAGGCCAATTTGAGTGAGTCTGGAGACAAATCCGGGGGGAAAAACTGAAACTAGCCAAGCTGCAGATTCTGTTTATAGTTATGATGCTGATTAATGGGAGGATATTGGCTTCATTTATGGCGACAGAGACACGCTGTCCATATATATATACCGTCAGTGGTATCACTGTTTTTCTTTTTCTACCAAACCATCCTGCCGAGCATTCATTCTTGTTATTTCTGTGTGGTATAAGTCACACCATCTGGTTTGGAAAAGGTTGTCCAAACAGCGATCACACTTTTCTCCCCCAAAGCTATTTGCCTGAGCTAAAGCTCATTTTTTGGGTTGGTTTTGGTGCAGCAGATAGAGTTTCCTGCACGACTCGTCCTCTGATTTTTTAATGTGCTAAACTGAAAGCAAACACTCCAACATTAGCCTCATTCACTTTTATTTCTTCCATACTGTATGTTTCCACTTTTGCACAAGGCCATTGTGAAAAGGAACGCCACTTGAGCGGATAAAGAAGTGACAGCTCTCTAACTTGAATGGAGTCATCACACGCATGAATGAATCACTGATTGTCTGAATAAAACCTGTGAAAGGTCTCGTCAATAAACAATCACTGCTCATTAATCTTGCTTCTTCTTGTATCTTAAGGTCTGAGTGAGGAGCTGGTGCGAGGAGATTGCAAATTTTGGTTCAGCGCCTGACTTTCCAACGCCTGTGATTGCGGCCGCTTCAGAACAATCGATATCTTTAGTAGGTAATCTGGTAGTTCTGGAGGCTACACATGATTACTTGAGTATTCTCTCTTTAGATTCTCCCTGTAGTGCAGGGATCACAGGGTTACTTTCACTAACATGTCAGTGATGTACAGATGATAACAGCCCCTCCAGTTATGAAAATCTGGCTCGTTGGTGCTTGTAATCCATAGGTTCAACAAGCCTAACCTGAAACTGTCTCACTGGTGGTGAAGGGGCAAATTAAATCTCCCTCCATCCGTGACAAGAATCGCCCCACCCCATACCGCACCTACGACTGACAGTGATATGCTCGCCCGCCTTCCCTCCACAACCGCAGAGACCCTGTCCCACCGTTCAGTCTGAAAGCCTTTTTAATGAAAGCTGGATCAAACTCGGCCGTTTCGAGCCTCCGCCCACAAAAGAAAGTGTTCCTCTCAGGAACACCGTGATGAGATCTCAGCCTATTTGACTCAACATCACTCACTGAAAACAAACAACCCCCCATCTGTATGTGACACACTAAAGCTGTCATCAATACGGCCCCGCTGCAGTGAGCACATACACAGACCGCTCGATACCGAGTAGACCGCCGCCCCGCCGGAGGGAAAGGAGAAATGATGTTCACGTCGCACTGATTTGGGTTTAGAGGGCAGAGCTGCTTTATCAGAGCAAGGAGTAAATTGGAAAAACATTTAAGTGAAAGCAGCAGCTTTCCAGTCACAGAACTGCAGTTACTTTTCAGATTTTTTGGTTTTGAGATGTGGCTAAAAAAAAAAAAGCTCTTTGTAGGAAATCTCACATGGCTTAGGTTCTTTCTCTCGACGTCATCTATTCATGTGTTTTGACTACATTGAGCAGCAGTGCAGGCAACATATCTCCATTTAAATCTGTGTCCCCTAAATGCATCATTAACAGCTCTCAGGACCTCCAGGTCTAAAAGTTGAAGCCAAGGAGGAGTGCATTGAAGCCTGCGTTCTGTCTAATGGCCAGCAGAGGGCAACTCATCTTGTTGGTTTAGTTTATTGGTTTGCAGGTTTTATATTCATACTATTGATCAGAATCAGACTCAGAAATACTCAGAGGGAAATTTGATCGTTACAGTTGCTCCGAAGTATACAGTATAGCAGTAGAAATATAGTAATGAAAATATTCATCAAATAGAATAGAATGTAAGTAAATATCAATAATAGGTACAAGAAATATTTACACGAATAAGAGTCAGATGGAATATATACACACATTAATAAATTGCACTTTGTTATCATGAGACATATTATTCTATTATTATATTGCAGTTTTAATAAATTATGAGTTATGGTGGAGGTTACAGTTTTTCAGTTATTTATTTTCATTTTTTAAATTTAAAAAATATATATATTATTATTTTTTTTTAAATTTATTTTGTGTGTGATGTGGTACATTATTGGTGTAATTAATTAGATAATTATTATTTTATATTATATTATATGATATAGGCTACTATTTTATAATTAATACCTATTAAATTGAGTTAAAAGGGGTAAGATTAGATAGGTTTTAACTTCTTCCTACTCCTTTTCGGGCATGTGAGATCGAATGAAGGCTATGTATTTATTTGATTTGTTTTCTTCATATTTTTAATTACAGCATTTCTTTTTTTTCCATGTTCGAAATAAAGAAATCAAATCAATTGTCTTTTTTGCTCAGGAAGGTTCCTTACTGAATGAAATGACCTGGAAGCATCTAAGTGGCGGACATGATAAGAGCTGCTCCAATTCTCCAAAAGCAAAGGAAAGGTGGGTCAATGCTTCCTTTATAACCTCCTTTAGCATAGGATACACTGGACC